GATGGGATTTCAGAATAGAGCAAGCTCAAAAAATTATATATGGCAGTTTTGATTTATGGTATTCGATGCAGCCTAGTAGAAAGTAAAATCCGATAGGCAGGAGATTTTATCCACATTGCTGGCAACCGGCAAATATCGCTGTATCAATAAATGGCACCCGCAACCACTCGGGCAGGTCCTGGCGAGCTGGTGCACATTTACGGATCAATCGGTGGATATTAAATAGAATATGCAAGACAGGATCAAGAAGCTTAGCACAGCTGCATCTGCGCGCATGAGCATCCCAGAAATTTCATCAATATAAAATCAAGATTCCCACACCAACTGTCCTAATGGCCCTAACTTTTTCGGTTTTTTGGATTCTGATGGTGCAGTGACTCCGGTCAGACGTCATGAAAACGTAAAATCTACCAAATTTGAAAGGAGGATACAGCTATGTAGGGAATAACTAGTTGTAAGGAAACAAACTGTTTAAAATCTTCCTGTGAAATAACTGGGAAAGACAAATAACGAGTTTTGAAGTGTTGAAAAAAAAGAGGAAAGGAAAAACGTACACCTCGAGTCCAGGGATGCCTCAGACATTCATCAACAGTGGCTCGTTTTCGTTGATCTCGCACAAACAGACGACCGATAAAATCTTTCGCATATGGTGAGACATGTTCGAAATAACGTTCACTGAAGTGATAATTTACAGCAGATATATTTACAAATGTTTCTTCGCGAGTTTCGCCAAGAAACGGCGAGCCACCGCTCAATCTGAAATACACAATAGCAAGTAAGAATTACATTTCACAAAGCAAATAAACGAAATGATAACGAAGAATGAGGGTTTTTCATTCTTCGTACTGTAAACAATTTCAAAACCCGGAGGGTTTGGGTTTTGAGAAACACACATACTTCCGACAAATTTGGTAAGAATTCCATCGCTGCACTGAGTAATCGTTTTCAATAGCCTTTTCTGAGGAACGGCAAAAAGGTAAACGGAATTTGTGCCGTTTTTCTTTTTGACACAAATATATGATATCTGTTTGTTGTGCTAAGAGAGAATATGAACATAGGTAAATAAGAGCCAAATGCCGGAAATTAAATTTCAGACTTCAAAAACTCGAGAAAAATAACAGCCAAATGTCGGAAATTAAATTCTAAACTCTAAAAACTAAAAAGTTTTAGAACATCATAAGTGCAGATTTTCGGACACGAAACTGTCCCATAATTCGCAGTTCTCCTAAAAAAACATCGGCCAGTAGTCATAATCGGGTATGACCGGAAATGACCAGAGCCTAAGCAAAAAGAGCACCGAATTTTAGAAATCATTATGTACGATTCATTTGAAAATTTGCCGAAATTCGATGAAAAAATGCAACAAAAGAAATTGCCAGCTACTCTTTCACGATGCTGCACAGCATGTAAGTCGAAAATATAAGTGAATAAAAGTAAAGTAAAGAAAACATTGCAAAATTTTTTCGAAAACGAGGGACACAAGACCTTTCTTAAGAAAAGTGTTGATTTTTATCTGAATTCCGGTCTGACTTATCTACAAAATCAGTGCTAGAGTAGAGGCAAGGAAATCAAAAATATGGAAATAACAGTCCATTCAGTACAAAATTTGGTGTTTGAGAGGTAATTAATTTGATTTTAAGACGCGCAAAATTTAATCAGTAAGAGAGCGAATGATTCGCACAGTTTCTGAGAATAGAGGAGGAAAAAAGCTTACAGTATGTAGGTGACAACGCCCAAAGCCCACATATCAGTAGCTGGTGATAAAGGCTCATAATTAACAACTTCAGGAGCTGAAAAACAGATTACAAATTAGGAACACTGATGAACGAATACGTAGCATCACGGGCGCTGAAGCGTCCACACACTTTCATGTCAAATGAAATTTATGTCTATTAGTCATCAAAAAGCAACCTCCTCCCCCTTCCCCCGTCTTTCGCCGTGTTCGATTGCTACGAGAGCTGAAGGCACTCAGAAAATATCACGAGTGGTAGCAAATGTCAACAGCAATCATTTGCTGGCAAGGATATCGGTGGCTCCCTTTTACAAGCAAGATGATGGCGAGTTTGTCTCCCTAGCATATGTCAGTATCAATTTACCATCGAAATGAACGAATCGTAGAGGGAATAGTCATAAACTCTAGCTAAAATAATATAAAGCAGAGTCCAAATAAAAATACTACTGTTTCTGAAACAATAGATTGCAAACAGCAGCAAATCCCATCCAGTAACAATCGCTTTGTATTGATACGCAAAAAAAATATCAAATTTAATTTTGTACAAAGGCACTACATGCTAAAATCAGAACGCTTGCTCTCCTCCCGAGGCTGAATACACCTTTGCTTTGGCCTCTACGT